AGGGGAGCCGGGACGTGAGGTGCCAGGAGCGGCCAGCGAGCGGACGGGTGCTCGCGCGCGGGCCCGGGAGCGATCACAGGAGGGAGAGGGCAGGAAGCGGGGGAGGGGAAGGAAGGTGGGCGGTGAGAGCATGTGGAGGGGTCCTGCTGGGCCCTGGGAAGGAGGACAAGGCAGCTGTTTACCGGCTCCGTTTTGCGATTCGTTTGCCTGCTCCAGCGCAGCAGTTCCTCCAGTTCCGTCGCCGTTTTTCAGGTTCCAGCCCCAGTTCCAATCCTGCAGCACTAATGGTTCATGTTTCTGGCCGCCGGTGCTTTTGTTTGCATCTCTTCGTGCTCCAGAGACGCTTCTTGGACACTGCAAAAATTCACTGCCGTTTCCAAAGCCCACTGAATGGAGGGTGCGGGATTGGAGGCGGGGGGTGCGGAAAGACCTTTCTTCCTTCCTTCCTTTCCTCCTTCTGCCCTTCCTCCCTCCTTTTTCCTCCTTCCTCCCCCTCCTCTCTCTTGGACTTGTCTCTGGCTATCAGACCTGTTCATTTCCTCTACCTCCTCCTCCTCCTCCTCCTTTTCCTCCTCCCCCTCCCCTCCCCTTCTCATCCTCCTCCTCCTGGGGGGAGGGGGGGCGGGAGGTGAGGACGAGGAGACGGGATGTGGGAGATGATGACGAGGGGATGGGGGCGGGGGACTCGGGAGGGAGGGAGGATGCGAGAAGGGGCTGAAGCTTAAGGCTCGGGTGTCCTTTGCAAGTTTCGGACCCCTCTTCTCTCCAACCCTCCCTGCGTCCCGCTGCGTTCTCTCTCTCTCTCTCTCCATTTCTTGCGTCGTCGTGTCTCCCTCCCTCCCTCGCTCCCCCATCCACTCCTTCCCATCCCTCTGCCGGGCCACCTGGGTCCTCGAACGGTCACTTCGTGATTTGATTACCAACGGCTCGCGCATCGTCGTCACTTCCTGCCAACCGAAGCGTTTCTTCCTATGCCCGTTGGTCGTGTCCCCGCGTGCTGCCGCCGACCGCTCAAACGATCAATTGCCGCTGACCTGGATAAACTGCAGCAAATTTTGCCGACCAGGGCAAATGCGCGGTTTACTCAACGGCCATGTTCGTGTCCCAGTCCGAGACCATGTTGCCCGTCGGATGCTTCGGCGCGCGCTCGCTTCCCACATGTGCAAGGCTGCCACATCTCTGCCATGAGGATAACCGTTCTCCTTGGTCAAACACCAAGTCCAGAAACACCATCGTACCTAACAGTCCACGTCCTTTGGGACGCGCGGACCCCCGTCATACTGTCATTCTCCTCTGCTGATCCTGGCGTCAGGCGCACTCGTCGGCTGATGGACCACCTTCACCGCCGCCGCCAGTTTGGGCTGAATCGCAATCCGATGAGAACAGTGGGGGCGCCAGGCAGGAGGAGACTGTCAGCACCAACTCACTCAGCTCACCGCTTTAATCGCATCGCCTGCAATGAAATCGCGCATGTGAGCGCCCACGTACTGCTGGAACTGCTCTTTCGCGAGCCAGTGCGCTCGAGAGATCTTGTCGCACTCTGCCGGCAGCTGCTTTGCCCAGAGGGCCGCGTGCTCCCCCCTGGCGAGGGCATCAGCCAAATCCTGCCGACTGACCTTCCCATCATTGTCCTGGTCGATGGTCGCGAAGGCGGCTGCCACGAGGGGCTGGTTCTGGCACACGCTGATGCAGAGGGCCGCAGCGATGAACTCTGTCCAGGAGACGCAGCCAGTCTGGTCGCGGTCCAGCGCGTGGAGGATCCGCGCCGCGCGCAAATGCGACATGCCACTTAGGCTGAGCACCTCCCGGATTGAGGCCGCGCTGATGGTGCCTCTGTTCTGGGTGTCGCAGTGGGTGAAGATGGCACGGAGCTCCTGCAGAGCCGGCACGCTGCACTGGTGGGCGATCAGCAAGAAGACAGCCTTCTTGAGCTCGGGCTGTCCTGCAAACGCGTCCAGGCATTGTATCACACCCACAGACAAAGGCGGAGGCCTCCTATCGAATCTCTTGAACCAGTCGTGTTCAAGGCATTTCGCCGCATCTGGGCGGCCGAGTGGGTCCTTGTTCAACATCGCACGCATCAGGTCCACGCAATCCCAGGACACGCCAGTGGACAGGTTCGGGTGATGGCGGTAGCTCTCGCTCACGATGGCCTTGCGGACACCGCTCTGCCACCAGGTGATGTCCCTGCCAGGCGGGGGAGGCCAAGTCTCCATGAAGGGGTAGTCACCGGTGATCAAATTGTACAAGATAACACCAGCACTCCAGATATCGCTCTTCATCTCGAGTCCACGGTCGAACCCCTCGGGCGCGATGTACAGCAGAGTCCCGCCGAAGGTCTGCGACACCTTCTTGTCTGGCTCGAAGAGCTCTGCAATGCCGAAGTCTATAAGCTTGATTGACGAGGACGTCTTGTCAACCATCATGATATTTTGAGGTTTTAGGTCCTTGTGCATGAACCGTTCGCCATGCATGAACGCCAGAGCACGCAGTGTCTGCTTCATGACGTCGCAAATGAAGTCCTCTGAATAGTCCGAGCACCTCCTCCTGAACTTGTCGTCGATTATGTTCTGTAGCTCTCCTCCATTGCACGGCTCCATGATTTGAGAAACGCTGGCTTCGTCCTCGAAATATTCGTACACCTTGATGACATTCGGGTGGTCCAGCACGGCCATGTTACCGATTTCCCTCAAGATCTCGTCCAGGGGCATGCCAGCCGCACCACGAAATTTCTCGATTCTCTTGCACACCCGTTGTTCGAAGGAGATCTTGTGCGTGACCATGTGCACCACACCGAAGCTACCCTCGCCGAGTTTTTCGCCCACGTCGTACAAATCGGAAAGCCTGTTCACATTCTTTCGGACGAAGTCACGGGTCCTCAGGGGGAGCACTATCGGGAAGTGAGACTTGTAATCCGCCGCCGGGCTTTGTGTCCGTTGGGGCGTGTTGGAAGACTGCTCGTCTGTTTTTTTTTGTTTGTTCAAAGAAATGTTCGAAGGCAGACCCCCACCCTGGACGGCACGCGTCCCTCTGAGATCGCCTCCCTCGAATTTGCTCTCGGGCAATGTCTTCGGCCAGCAGACGGCCAAGATGGCCTCCAAGATGGTTTCCAAGGCAGGCAGGATGAGACTAAGACGGCCCAAGATGGCCCAAGACGGCGCAAGAGGCTCCAAGACGGTCTCAAGACAGCTCAAGAGGCCCCCAAAGAGGGCTCCAAGAGGGCTCCAAGAGGCCCTCCCAGAGAGCCCGAGGAAGCCAAAAACATTGATACCTCTTAGGTTTCTGAAGGATGTCGAGGTTCGCGCCCGTTTGAGCTTCTGACCGCCCAAGACGGCCCAAGAAGCCTCCAAGAGGCCTTCAAGATAGCTCCAAGACTCCAAGACAACTCAAGAGACCCCCAAAGATGGCCCCAAGTCGGCAGACCAGGACCCACAGATCGCCCAATGGGCTCCTAAGAGGGTCCCCAGACTGCCCTGAAGCGCCCCACGAGGGCACCACAACGGCCCAAAGAGGCCCCCAAGACGGCATCCGAAGGCGCCAGACGGGCCACGAGTCCCCAAAGACGGCCGAAGAAACCACAAGAAGCCCCCGAGAGGCCCCGGGAGGCCTCCAGAAAGGCTCCAAGAGGCCCTCAGGAGGCTCCCAGGAGGCCACAAGAGAGCCCCCAGAAGCCGCCTCCTCGTCCTCACGTTCTCCTTCTCCTCCTCCTCCTACTCCTCCTCCTTACCTTCCTCCTTCTCCTCTCTCCTTCTCATCCTCCTCCTCCTCCTCCTCCTCCTCCTCCTCCTCCTCCTCCTCCTCCTCCTCCTCCCTACCGCTCAGACGAAGCCGAGCTTGAGATCAGGACCTCCCCAATTCATACCAATCGCTGAATTACCGCGGGGCGTGAACTCGCCAACCTCGGTACTGCGCGGGCGAAAGACGAGGTCGAATTCTCGACCCGTCCTAATTGATAACACTCGTCGGAATTGCGCTGTTCCTACAATCAGCCTCTGTCCAGCTGCGCTGTTGCACAGGCACGGTGGCGGGGTTTGCCGCAGGTAGTTGGATATTCATGAAGTATGTTGCGACACACTTTTTGGAATGATGCGACGTCAACGCCAGAGCCCCACCAGGACGTGTGCTTGCTGTACACGCCCCGTAGACTATCCTCGGACGAAGGCAGCGTCTCCTCCACTGGGCGAAGCAGCGAATCTCTGAGGGATACCTTGAACTGGGCTAGGTTCATGAACTTCTCCCCGCCAGTCGTCTCAAAAAAAATCGCGGCGGAGTAATTGTTTAGCTCCTCATCTGACTCGATCAACTCTTTCAGCCATTTGTGCGCGTCGATGCATGCCACATCCGCCTCTGACCTCGACCTGCGCGCTGTGGGGCTCGTGTTCCCGCAGTTTGGGTCGTGGTCGCCCTTGCCAGGGTTCAGGGCGCACCTCTTGCAGCATGTGTCGAAAGGCTTCATGCCCTTTGTCAATCCAGGCTGTACCTTCCGACCACAACCGAACTTGCACATGCCAGCGTCGCTCGGCATCGAGCCACTGGAAAAGGCACTCGCCGCCGATAACTGGCGCGCTGCCCTGGCCGAGTCCGTACGCCCGACGTAACGCGGTTGCCCTGTTGGCGGCGGTGGTGGAGGAAGGAGCGCGTGCATCCACAGAAACGTTCGGAGCTCCGCGCGGATGTCTTGGGCCGACGCTGACCCCCAGGAGATTCGCGCGGAGCTCCGACAGTTTGATGCTCGTGCAGTCTTCTCTTCCTCCAGATGGTGGCGGTGGCGGCGGCGGCACAGGGAGCGGCACCGGCCGCCGGACGTGCGCCGCGACCATCTCAGGGAGGATCCACTTGGTGTTCCCCTCGAACTCCACCTTGACGGTGCCAGCCTTGACGTCGAAGCCCTCGAGCCTGGCGTCGGTCGTCGGGGCGTACACGATCCTCGCGCCTCGTATCCACGCCCGCCTGGAATTGCTCCACACCTCCACGGTCTCGCCCACTGCGTACGGCTGCATAGAGCTCAGGTGCAGAGCTCCGAGCCGCGCTTCTGCTGGCTGCCGAGCCCTGGCTCACAACTTGGGCCAAGACGTCTGGAGCCCAGATCGTTACGACTAATTATGGCCATGACGATGTGGTCTCTGGTCTCTGTCACTGCGTGAACCGTTCAGACTGTGAGCTGTCTCCGCTGCCTGAGGTTGCAAAGTGATGTCGTTTTCTTGCTCGCTCTCTCCACCGCAGACATTCGCTGGACATGGACATGGCGTGGCCACAAGCGGCCGCCGACACGAATGCGTCCTCGAACTCCGAGGGCCCAGGGAGGAGGGGCAGGGGGGAGCGAGGAAAGAAGCAACGCTGGGGAAGGAGGTCCTGAAGGGGCCCTGGGACACACAAACAGATGCACACAAATCCTAGGATTCCCAATATTTCAATATTTTCTGGATTTTCGTCTTCCCCCCCACTTCCCATATTTTCCCATATTTCCCTGGGAATCGTCAATTAATCGTGTCTGTGTGCATGTTTTCCTTCCTGAAGTCCCAGAGGATGCCGGGGGCCTTCAATGTTGAACGTCCGTGATTGCGCTGCCACCGCGCTGAGGCGGAACAGGTCTCTCCCGCGGAGGAAGGAATTTTGACGTCTGCACTGGCCGTTGTTTCTCTCTGCCAACGCCGCAGCAAAAAAAGACCAGGAGGAGTCACTGCACACAAATCGATCGCACGCCCAGAGGATGCCATGACAACGACCATGCAACGACGCCTCCTCAATCCTCTGGCCTCTCCTCTCCGCTCCCTTCTGCTCCTCCCTCCTCCTCCTCCTACCTCCTCCCTCCTCCCTCCTCCCTCCTCCCTCCTCCTCCTCCTCCTCCTCCTCCTCCTCCTCCTCCTCCTCCTCCCTCTTCCCTCGTGTTGGTCTATATTTGCCACAACATGGCGTGATGCTTCGTCGCGTGAGCGGGCGGATCGCGATGGAGGCCTCCAGGCATGTGGCGAAATAATGCCCCATGTCTCCTCCTCTGATCCAGTCAATGTTACAACCCGCTCACTCCCCAAAAGCAAGGTACCGTACGAAACATACGCTGTCTTGACCTGTGCACATTTGTGTACGCGATAAAACATATTATTATCACATGTCTATACAGATGTATGTATATATGCGTGTGTATACCTGTATTGCTAGACCAGGCTCTCAGTAGATGACTGGGCTGAGCTCAAACTTGACGGGCACCCTGTAGGGCTTCCATTCAGGGTATGGGGCTATGTAGATCTGGCTGTGAATGTCGTGGTCAGTCAGTGCTGTCAAACTTTTTCGGGAGGTAGGTGGGTGGAGCTTTCACCAAGTACCTTGTGCATGCCAGATTGGGCTTACGCTGCTGCTAGTCGTTGGTGCCCCCGCAATGTATTGAGGTAGTCAGTGGGTGCTGGCGCCTTGTCATCGTTTGGGCTGTAGTGGGAGTCGTCGTTGGGTACGATTGGTGTCGATCCTGTCTGACCGTCTTCGGTAGATGGCGGTGCTTCTGCTTGGAAGTAGGCGCGGGTGGTTGCTCGCGTCTGTGCTGTGCGTTGGTGCGGTGGGATGCCAGCAGGCCGTTCGTACTCGGCGGTGGAGGTATTCGACAGGGGGAGACAACGGGAACATTGAGTCTGGGTGGTAGTGGGATTGCTGAGATAGGTGTGGCAGGTTGTTGGTGGTGGTTGTCCTGTTGTGTCGCTGCTAGTTGCGGCGATGCTCTGCTATGCGGCTTTGTAATCGTAGCGGATACTGGGTCGTGCTCTTGAGTCTTATTTCGGGCCCTCCTGCGCTGGGTCCTCGTTTTGACTGGAGCACCGTGGTCCCCACCCTCCTCCTCTCCCGCCTCACTCCTCCTGCCTCCTCTGCAGCTACTCCCCGGATGGCCGCGAACTACGCACCTGTCGTCACTCTCGTGGGCTCCCCGGAGGTCCAGCAGAGGCTGCGAACTGCGAAGCTTTCGCCACTTTCGTGGGCTCTGATGAGGTCCAGTGGAGCGGTGTCAGACGCGCACCCAGACTAGAACTCGCGGCTCCCTGGAGGGCTGCGAACTGCGAAACTGTCACCACCGTCGTGGGCTGCGAAACTGTCGCCACTTTCGCGGGCTCCTTGGCGGTCCAGCGGAGTGGTGTCAGACGCGCACCCCGCTTAGACCTTGCGGCTCCCTGGGGGGCTGCGAGCTGTGAAACGTCGTCACTTTCGTGGGCTCCTCCGAGGTCCAGCGGAGTGGTGTCAGACGCGCACCCCGCTTAGACCTTGCGGCTCCCTGGGGGGCTGCGAGCTGTGAAACCGTCGTCACTTCCGTGGGCTCCTCGGAGGTCCAGCGGAGTGGTGTCAGACGCGCACCCAGACAGGACCTCGTGGCTTCCTGGGAGGCTGCGAACTGAGGAGCTGTCGTCATATTCGTGCGCTCCTGGGAGGTCCAGTGGAGTGGTGTCAGACGCGCAACCCGACCAGACCTCTCGGAATGCTGGGGGACTGCGAACGGCGAAACTGTCGCCACCGTCGTGGGCCGCCAAACTGTCGCCACGTTCGCGGGCTCCTGGAAGGTCCAGTGGAGTGGCGTCGGATGCGCACCCAGACTAGACCTCGCGGCTCCCTGGGGGGCTGGGGGCTGCGAAGCTTTCGCCACTTTCATGGGCTCCTCCGAGGTCCAGCGGAGTGGCGTCACACGCGCACCCAGACAAGGCCTCGTGGCTCCCTGGAGGGCTGCGAACTGCGAAGCTGTCGTCACTTCCGCGGGCTCCTGGGAGGTCCAGCGGAGTGGTGTAAGACGCTTGCAGGGACCAGACCTCGCGGCTCTAGGAGGGGTCTGCTGCTACCTGCGCCCTCGCGCTAGGCACCAACGGAATCAAGATACTGTTTTGCATCAGCGGTGGTCCGTCGGACCCACCAAAAGATTCGCATTCGCGGGAATTTCCTTACCTCGGTGCCAGACACCCGCGGCACTCGGATGCTGAGTTGCGTCAGCGGTGACCCAACATGCTCGCAGAAGACACCATCGGTTGCAATCGGTTCCCTCCCTCTCGCGCCAGACACCCAGGTTGCACGCAAACCCAGACGACACCTCGCGGCTCTCAGCGAGGCTGCCACTTGCGCTGCTGTGGTGCTCCCCTGGGCAAGAGTGATGCGCATCGCTCACTGCGCTCCTTTGTAAGGAACACTTCTTTTCATAGTTGCCGCACGTGGGCAGCATAAAGGTTGAGTACGTCACGGGTACGTATGTTGCTTCGGTATGCTGGTGGATGGTGCCCCCGTGCTGCTGGCTGGGTCTTGCGTGAAATTGTCTACAAGGGTGCCGTGTGGGCAGCTTGCTTGGGCAAGCAGTGCGGCTGCGCGGGGTAGGTCGTCGGTCCGTGCAACTCTCTGGATGTTGAATACCTGTTGAGGTCCATTGATGAAAAGTGAAAGGCGATGTCGATTGTTGGTGCGGTGTCTGCCAGTGCGGCCGCTGGATCTTGTCGTGGATGCACTGGTTGGCCAATGCTACGTCAAGTTGGAAGTCTGCGTCGATGTCGCACTCTGCCCGCAATCTGCAACGTTTCAGGGCTCGTGCCGGCTGTGGACTTGTGTTGCCTGCTCTTTGTGGAGCTGGTGGAGGTGGAATTGAGTCAGCTATAGACGAGCGCGCTCGACTACTCGCAAAATAACCACTTGTAAATGGCATGGCTCCGCTGAGGAGGATTGACGACCCAATACATCGAGGCGAACATGCTTTTCGGGGACGCTTGCGAGTAGGCACTTTGCGAGCAGTGGAACGCGCCCGGTGAAGCTAGGCCGCTGCGCCATCCCTCCCTCGTCTCCCGCCAGACCCCCCTGCGAGGCGGGGATTTATCCAGATCCACCGCCTGGGAACCGACGTCCTGGTGCACCAGCGGGCGGTGGATATTGTTATATTTCTGCCTCGGGGGCCCGACTATGTCCATATCCACCGCCTGCCGAGGCTCCGAAAACTGACCCTCCAGGCGGTGGATGTGGTTAAACTCCCGCCTCGGACCCCCGGCAGGCGGGGGGGGGAGGAAGAGGAGTCGATGAGCCGACTGGCCAGGCCGCAGCGCCAGCCGCACCCGCACGCCCGTCGTCAGGCTCACGCCGTGCCCCCGTGCCCCGGTGCCCCCCCCCCCCTCCCTCAACCCTCACCTGTGAGGAGTAGGAGGAGGAGGAGGAGGAGGAGGAGGAGGAGGAGGGGGAGGAGGAGGGGAGGAGGAGGAGGGGAGGAGGGGGGGGAGGAGGAGGAGGAGGAGGAGGAGGAGGAGGAGGAGGAGGAGGAGGAGGAGGAGGAGAGGAGGAGGAGGAGGAGGAGGAGGAGGAGGAGGAGGAGGAGGAGGCCCACTGTGACCCCTCAGAGTCACACCGCAGCGCACTGAGCAGAAGGTCGAGGCCCGAGGATGACGGCCCCGACGACGACGACAGGCTGGAGCTGGATGGCCTGCCATGCCGCAGCGCCCGCTCCCCCCCTTGCAGCACCAGCTGCGGAGGGTGAACCTGCCATGCCATTGCACGCCTGCGGCGCGAACCCTGCGCACAGTACCGACGAGGCTTCCACCGACGTCGATCCCCGATCGCACGTCCGTCCTCTCTTCACACGCCGCGCGGACCCCATCGTGCTACAGCACTCGCAGAGCGGATGGCCTGGCGACTGCCCCCTGATGCCCTGCAGCACCAGTCCCCGGGTGGCCATCTTCTGCCGCACCAGCGGCTGAAGACGCCCCTGCCGCGCCCTCACGTGAGCACCAAGCTGCCCGCTACGGCCAAGTTTCACTTTCCGGCCGCACACAGTTTCTTCTTCGAAATCTCAGGTCCCCTGGAGAGGCCGTAAGTTCGGCGACTGCTCACCCACCGACTCCTGGTGCCGTGCTTCGGGGCTACTCCCGAGCATCCCTGAGTCACCCCAAAGCGGTCTCTCCAGAACCGCCGCCGACGAGGGTCTAAATGACGTCAAGTCGCGACCGCTCGTCCCGCCCCTTCCCTAGCAGCTTGCGGACCCCGGCGTGCACCACCAACCACCGAG